GACTCTGACCCTCAGTATTGCAACTTCCGGGTAGTTCACTAATTAACGGTGAACTCCCGGACCGAAATTGATCTCAAAGAGACCTGATCTTAATACAATTCAAATTCGTTCATTGTTTTAATTGATTATCATTAGGAAATCATTATTGCAAAGATTGTTTCTTGATTATCCTTAAGAATTATTCTTTCGTATTAATCATTAATTAAATTTATTGATTAAATAATTCGTTATTATTCTTCTTATTACGAATTTTCGAATTGTTTACGGGAAAATTTAGTTTTTCTGTTTGATTAGGTGTCTTAGTCTATCCTTGGGACAGGGACTGCATTTATATTGTTTGATCTGTTCTATCCCTGTGCCCACCCTCTCCCTCAAACTGTTTTGCGATCCTCCGGACGAGCCAGCCTTCAGCAACAGTTCCTGATGCCAGAAGGGCCAGCCTCCGAACAGCAGCCACGATGCAGCAAGCGGATCGCCAATCGCCAACAGCAACAGCAACAGCAACCTACAGTTCCGCAACCGCCACAGACCAGTACTCAGATGGCGAACACGCCACACAGCGGATCATCATCCGAGGGTTCGACAGCTAGTAATGCCGAACCCTTACCGGTCTGTCCGGTGCGAGGGGCGAATGAGCCCCTCCCGGACTTCATTCAGAGAATGCAGGACTATACAGCCGCACTCACCCAGGTCAAGGAACAGCAAGAGGCTGCCGCAGCCGAAAGACTACGACTAGCAGAGGAAGCTGCAGCACAAACCCGGCGTCAAGCCGAGGCAGACCAGTTGGCGATCGATCAGCTCAACGCCAGCAGCGCTGAAGTTGGAAGTGCTAACCAAGCACAATGGACAGCGGTGTCCCGGCACCCGGCAGCGAGCCGACAACAGTACAGCACGAGAGGCACGACCTGGCAGATATTCTACTCCATACAATGCGCGCCGTCATTTGGAACAGCTCCATGGGGGAGCTGCATTCCCGGTCCACACTGCAGCTGCAACACGATCTGAGCCACAACGTGAAGATACTTGCAGCAGCTGTCAAGGTCGCGGACAACCAGTTGAAACAGCTGGATGCACGCATTGCTACCTTGGAGGCAAGGCCTCCCCAAGCAGCGCCAGGCTGCACGCCAGATATGACAGACACAACGAAGCAGCTCAATGGGCGCATCGATCATGTCGTCAATCTCATCGGCGACATAGGTGTTTTCAATGGGCCGAACACGATCAGTAGCACGGTGGCCGCCATCAAGACGGACATCACCAAGCTGCAGACAAAACCAGACGCCGCCACGAAGAGTTACAAGATGCCGCACTTCGACATCAGCAAGTTTGACGACCACAACAAGACGCACGCTTTGGCATGGTGGGAACGTTTCCTCGCGGAAGCATCCTACCGCACCGTCCCGGACGACTATCTGATGAAGGCGTTATACTTACAGCTGATTGGAGGAGCGCAGGCATGGATGAACCATCTGGCGGCTACCCACACATGCACCATCGCCGAACTTCACACGCACATCACGTGGAAGGAGTTCGAGCAGCTATGGTTCACCCGGTTCATGGTTCGCAATGTCGTGAAGGCGGCCATGAAAGAGGTGTACACCTGCTCTCAAGGAAGTATGCCAACTCGAGACTGGACAACCAAGTGGCAGAAGATAGTGACCACGCCAGGCTTCGATTTGACTTTTTCTAATCAACGATCCGAGTTCTTCTCGCGATCGTGCTTGGAATTGCGGTCGGCACTCGGTAACGAGTACGACTATACCTCGTTCCAGGCTATCCTGGATCGCGCAAACCTGGTCATCCAAACGGACGACAAGACCGCTAACGAGAAACAATCCCAGCCGCATTATGTGGCTAAGCAGGGCTATCAACGTCCGACACATAACCATGCCGTAATTTCTGAAGCAACAGACGATCTCCACGCTGCAGCCGCATCCTCGAGTGATGGAGGAATTGTAGCAGCGCTCCCGCCGAAGCGTCCTAAGAGGGTCCGGAAACCCAAGGCGACACAAGAGACGGCATCGACGGGAACTGGGCAGCAGCCATGGACGGCCTACAACATCACAAAGGAAGTCTATGAACTTCGTCAGAAGTACAGATATTGCCTTTGGTGCAATGGAGTCACACACTTGACTGCACAATGCCCCGAAAAGGGCAAGGCACGCGTACTCCGTCCAGCAAACT